GGCCCCAAGCTTTCATATAAAGCGCTCGCAGCGTGGGGGCCCCTGACAGCAGCTGCTGGCGTCTGTTCAGCTGCGTTTGTCTTTAGATAAATAATTAATTTATTTAAACAATTTGAAGGAATTTGAACTCAATGATGCATTTCTTATTGAGTTATAAGTCTAGCTGAGAACGATCAACACTGCATATGGCCAACAGCTGCAGCAACCAGCCTTCTTCTTCTCCTTCTTCCTTTTCTTCTTCTCTTTGTGTTTAAAGAATCACATTAAAGTTTATTTTATTATTTGTTTACTTGCAAAAGTGGAATTCGTTTTCCTCTTTTATTGCCCCCAGTCTCATCATGAGCTGCGGTGTATCGGCAGCTCGGCGGCCAGACGTGCAGGCGTTGTTTTCGGGGTGCGAGTGCCGTTGTTTCCTGCATAATTTTTGTGTTTTTTTTGCTGTTTTATCGTTTATTTATATTTAATTAATGCTGTATTGCTTACAGCAAAGAAGGTTTCGTCAGTATGCAGCTCAATGACGCGCGAGGCAGAGAAGGATTTCCTTCGTTTCGGGTGTCTACGCACCTTCGACTGCGGCTCCAGCTCCGTCAATTGCCTTCGTTTCTTCGGCGACGCGGATCACTTGCTTGCGGGGGCTTCAAACAAACGAATTTATCTTTTGGGGGCTCAGCTGGGGGTTCTCTGTGAGTTTGCTGGTACGCCTCGAGCTGCACACGACAGCAGGCAACACAGAAACGGAGAAACTCGTGTTTTTCTTCTTCTGATTTGTTTCAATTCTTTTTGTATTTGCAGCTTCAAATAAACTACCCTGAAAATATACAACTCAAGAGACAGCGGCATTTAGCCGTACATTCATTCGTTACCCTCTCTGCGGTGTCTGCATATACACACACCCCTTGCACATGCTGCATCTATTTATTTAGTTGTTTCATTTATTTATGATTTATTTCTTTGTAATTATTTATTTTGTGTGTGCTGCTGCTTTAGGAGAACACACAGACGCTGTAGCTTGCATTGGCGCTGATGACTCGTATACGCATACTTTCCTATCGGGGGGTCTAGACAGAAGAGGTATTTCTTTTCTTTTTTGTATTTTTCCTTTCAGTTAATTAAATAATAATATTAAACAACAATATTATACAAACCATCTCTTTTATTTCCTTTACTATGTTTTATTCCTCCACATATCTCTTTTTAATTTATTTTATATAACAGTGATTCCACCCACTTAAATATATAAAAGCTTATCTAATTAAAAAATTAAAAAAAAAAAAAAAAGCTGCGGTGTATGTACACCTCATTTTGCTGCAGGTATTCTGTGGGATGTACCGACGGGCGCAGCCATTCGTCAATTTCCGCGGACTTGTCCGTATTTTTAATTTTTTTTTCAGCTGTCTGTACACCCCACGTTTATATTACGTTCCAGCTTTCTGTACACTCTACTTTTATATTATTTTTCAGCTGTCTGTACACCGCAAATATACGCGGCTAGAGTAGCTGTGGATGAGGGATGCTGTCTGTTCTTTCCCTAAATATTTTTCTCTTCCCTTCTGTATTCGTGTGTTTCTATATTTATCTCCTTATTTATTCATTCATTTATTTATTTATTTGTTTATTTATACTTTTAATTTTAGTTTCGTCGAGCACAAGTCTATTCCTTCTTTCTGCCCTTGCGTGTCATGTTTTTTTCTCGTTTTTTCTCCGCGTAAGTATTCCTTTATCACCAAAATACTAAATAAACAAATAAACAAACAAATAAATAAATAAATTAAATAGTTTTATTGTTTTTTTTTTCAGCTGCTGTCAGTGCATGTCTCTTCTCTCGCTCTGCTAGCCCCTCAAGCCACTTAGCCTTCGTCGGTGACGTCGACGGCAGAATTCGAATTTTTGATTTTCGCTGCACAACAAAAAAATTTGGTTATGTTCAAGTTTTAACGGACGCTAAGGATGCTATCTCTAGGCAAGTTTATTTTATTTTATTTTATTTTACTTTATTTCGTTTTGTTTTATTTTGTTTTATTTTGTTTTGTTTTTTTTGTTTTGTTTTATTTCGTTTTATTTTGCTGTTTTTGTGATTTTTGCTGCGCAACAAAAATTTGGTTATGTTCAAGTTTTAACAGACGCTAAAGATGCCATCTCTAGGCAAGTTTATTTTATTTTATTCTGTTTCATTTAGTTTTATTTAGTTTTATTTAGTTTTATTTTGTTTTATGTTGTTTTGTTTTATTTTGTTTTTTTTGTTTTGTTTTATTTCGTTTTATTTTGCTGTTTTTGTGATTTTCGCTGCACAACAAAATTTGGTTGTCTTCAAATATTAACAGATGCTGAAGATGCTATCTCTAGGCATGTTTATTTTATTTTATTTTATTTTGTTTTATTTTATTTTATTTTACTTTATTTTATTTTATTTTATTCTATTTTATTTTATTTTATTTTATTTTTTTTTATTTTATTTTGCTTTATTTTATTTTATTATATTTTATTTCGGTTTGAATTATCTTTGCGCGTTTTCGTTTAGCTCTATTTAACGTTAATAGATTTCTTTATCTAATTTTATTTTTTATAAATTAAATTAATTAATTAATTAATTAATTTATTTATTTATTTATTTATTTTATTTATTTTGTGTGCAGCATCGCCGCTGTTGATGATAGGCTGCTGAGTGCCTCTCTAGACGGCTGCGTATACACCTACGACCTGAGGCGGGGGCAGCTCCACGCAGACTGCTACGGCAGCCCCATCACCTGGTGATTCAATATATATATATATATATTTTTTTTTCTTTTTATTTTATTTATTTTATTTATTTATTTAATTTATTTATTTATTTCTTTGCATTCATGTGTTTGAATCTGTCTTCTTGTGTCTGCGTTTCTGTTGTTTCTGTTTCTGTTGCTGCACTTCTTCTTCATTTTCCTCTTGCTGTTGCTGCTGCTGCTGCTGCTGCTGTTGCTTTAACATCTGCTTCTGCTTCTGCTGCTGCTGCTGCTGCTGCTGCAGGCTGACGCCTTCATCTGACGGCACAGCGTTGCTGCTGTCTTGCGGCGACGCCAGCATTCGTTTGGTGGAGGCGGAGACGGGAGAGTGCATGCATGCATTTTGGGGTCACCGGCAGACGAGCAGCAGCTCCTTTCGCATGCAGAGCGACTTCATAGCTTCTCCTAAACAACTACCCCGTCCCCCTTCTCCCGCTGCTGCTGCTGCTGCTGCTGCTGCTGGTGCTGCTGGTGCTGGTGGTGCTGATATCTTCGTCGCTGGTGAGGATGGTGTTGCTGCGCGTGCGTTTGATGAGCTGCTGGAGGCAGCAAAGGGGGAGC